GGTTGGGTGCAACACCTTTCTGGTCAGCACAAGTGACGTTGGTGTGAATGTCACCCCCCCCTTTCACTGAGTTGTATATTACTGGCAACGCATATCCTGCAACCACCAAGCACTCAGGAGCCAAGTTGCCTTTTCATTTCTCACCTCACACGCGCCCCCCCCCCCATCCAGTTCAAACCAGTACTTTTCGTTTTGGTTTACTTCGATTTGCTTTTCGGATCCAGGTTTGGCAGACTTTATGCCTTCTGCACCGTGCTGTTGCAGAGAGGGGAAAAATGGAAGAGAAATAAATGGAAAAAAAAAAAAACAGTATTGTCAATAACACTGTGGTAACATGACATTTACAATAAAAACCAAATACCTAAGACGGAGCAGTCTTAACTGTGTGCATCCTGTATTTTTCTAAATGCCGTGGTAAATATTTGCTTCTCATGTGAGAATGAAACTGTATGACTGATTAATTACCCATTAAAGTTCACTGTGAGGGTCATTTCAGTGTCAGTCTGTAACTTCACATGCTTACAGTGAGGCTGCTGCCTTTGGCTCTGATTTGTCAGCAGATGGTGTTCACAGATGCTACAGTGTGTCTGCCATGGAGAGTAATGACAGGTGTACCACCTAACTCTGGGGCAGTATGGCTCAATGAGTTAGGATGCTGTTTCTATGACTGGAAGGTTGCTGGTTCAAATCCCAGCATCAGCAGCGTAATTTCACCATTGGGCCCTTCAGCATAGCCCTTATCTCCTCCCCCAATCGCTCCGGCGGACTCTTTCTCACAAATTGTCATGTTGGACAAAAGCATCTACTAAATATGTAATGTAAAAAAAAACAACACACCCCCTGCCCTGTAAGAGTTCCCTGTGTGTGACCTCATGCCAGCTTCATCCACATCAAAGCCACACATACAACAGCCGCACAAACATGTTTTCTTCCTGTCACTCAGTTTAAAGTTCAAAGGCAAGTTAAGCTAATTGGAATCTCCAGCTGCCCACACTGCATGAGGGTGAAGTGCCCTGCAGTAGACAGTGTGCCAACTGCGATAGGCCGCAGGCCCACTGTGACCGAGACCAGGACAACTGAAAAGTGGATGGAAACATACAGCTCACTCTGATTAATCTCACCCATCCAGCAACCAATCAGGAAAAGCTCCCAATACAGACGGGTATACATACTATTAAAAATAATATATAAAAAGCAGTTTATCCGGGTTTATTCTGCAAATTTTCAGTATGCATTTAACAATGCTGTCACAATTGTTTCAGGGTTGGGCTTGGTTTGGGCTATGTGACTTCAACTGAACTGGCATTACAATTAATCTGGGGGAAAAAAAGCCCAATAAACAAAGCTTGACCAAAAACACAAAAATGAATCAGATCTTGAGAGCTGATTTAAGTCCTCCTTGGATGTCTCCCCCTTCTGGGATTTTCACTTCAAAGAAGCAGGGAATCGCTAAAACGTTCCCGCCCTCCCTCTCCTCAGGAAACGTGTGCCCCAGCAGACATGTGATGCGGGAGACTGAAGTCCAGCAGCTTCTCTCTCCCCATCTCCAGGGAAGCAGCAACCCTGGCCAGGCCACCCCCCCAGTCAGCTGGCCTCCATCCCTCGTCTGTGGAGCCACCGCTTCTTGAAGTTCGCTGCCTTTGTCTTCTGATTCTCACCTGAGCGGAGCACAAAGATCTTAGATGCACATAATACAGGCATCCCCCTCCCCCCGACCAGCCAATGTGATCAGAGCTTTGAAAAGGGGGCAATGTGATCTAGCAGATTAGGACACAGAAGGTCAGTAGCTCAAATCCCTGGGGTGGCAGAGTGATGTCACTGTTGGGCCCCTGAGTGATGTCACTGTTGGGCCCCTGAGTGATGTCACTGTTGGCCCCCTGAGTGACGTCACTGTTGGCCCCCTGAGTGAGGCCCTTAACCCCAATTGACCCTGTCAATGTCGCTTTGGATAAAAGAGCCTGCTAAAAAAAGAAAATTCTTGGTCTGCTGCGTTTGCTTTACCCATCCAGTTAAGAGCCGAATTTACTACATATTATTAGTATTTAATTTTTTATTTAGCATAATTAGAGATAATAATTACTGCCCGTCGAACTCACACACTTTGGAGAGGCAAAGGATTGTGACAGCAGGCAGGTAGGCAGAGTTAACACACAATCGCCTGCTTGACTGCCCCAGGCAGGTAGGCACAGTTAACACACAATTGCCTGCTTGACTGCCCCAGGCAGGTAGGCACAGTTAACACACAATCGCCTGTTTGACTGCCCCTCCCCCAGCTCCAACCAGAAGCAAACTCACCCCACTGCTTGGACACAAACACCACGGCAGCACCTTTGTTCTGGGCCCGTTTGTTTTCCAGCGACAGGAAGTGATTCACTGAGGAGGAAGCGGGAGATCATGTGACCAGCAGCCACATATAAGCGATGATTCGTCCCCCCAGCTTTGCCGTTTTGTCATCAGCTGACATCGGGCCTTTCTGGGGTTTATAACCAGACTATTTCAGGAACACCCCCCACAGCCTTTAAACCTGCGCATATTTGTCTTTACGTCATTACTTGTTAACGAGCAGATGACAACACACTCGCTGCCATTTAATGATTAACAATGGTCACGGTCTCCTCACCAGGGGCCCGGTTGGACTGGGGGCTGTACAGACGGGACTGCAGGAACTCGGCCGCTCTTTGCTGCTGCTTACTGGTGACTGGCTGATCCTGTACCCTCATCACAGCGTACCCCCCCTTTATTCTGCGCAAGAGGAAAAAAAAACCTGGAAATAAACACGTGCACCAAACCAAGCGTTACAGTCCTGCATAGCAACCCGGGGCAAACTCAACAGGTCGTCTTCCGTTTAACACGTCAGTATAACTGGCCATCATTCGAAAGCCAGACAAAATTACCACTATTTTTCAAAATGACAATTTTACCCATAATACAGTACATCCACGTTACATTGTTACTAGAGCAATGTCAGGTTAAGTACTTTTTCCACAGATAATTAAAGAATAACAGCTACTCTGTCTACTGAATTCAGAACAATGGATTCATGTTTATGCAGAACAAGCTTACTATGTGCCCGATACAACAAGCTCATTTTTCCGGTAAAGCACTTTCTATTCAGCACATTTTCCCCACCTCCGTTTCTTGATTCTTTTCTTTTTCTTCTTTCCCGACGTCACTGTCGTCATCTCCTGCTCCTCTTCCTCCTGACTGTCAGATCCTTCCTCCTCCTCCTCTTTACTCACCTCTTCACTATCTGCAGTGCAGAGATTCCTGTCACATGCTCTAAAGTCTATAAATTTATAATTAACACATCTGTCTAAGTGGACAGTTGACAAAATGGAACATTTTTTAATTATTATTCATTTGCTGGTGAGGTTTATAAAGTAATGCCCGGCCTAAATGATGTGACAGCGCTTTAATGTCGGGGTTTCTGTGGCAAATTCTGAACTAATATATCATTATAAAAACCACATTATTCTACAGCTAGACATACCTTTTGCTTTCGGTCCCTTTGGATTTCTAAAAGACAAAACGGTTTTAAAAACATTTCGTTTCAGTTTATTACAAATATTGTTGATGTTATGCCATCGAGGTAGGCATTTACTTCGAGGAAGCCGAATCAATTTCCTCTAGAATTTCATCGGGAAGACGTCTTCTTTTCTACAGGCATAAAAAATAATGAAAATAATAAGTAAAAATGTCTTTAACCACAAACATACATAAGTAAAGCTGAACGTCTAAGACGGAATACAAATCTGTACCTTCTGCTCCTCAAACAGCTGCTGTTTCCTCCTCCGCTTTTCCTTCAGCAATTCCTTATCTCTGTATAGAGATAAACAGTTTAGTTAAGACCTTCACCTTCAAATAGTGAATCTTCTTCAACATGTAAGCAGGGTTTCTAAGGCATCACTGGTTCACTATGCACCTTCTGGCGCTGTCGATGGCTTCTTTCATGCTTCGAAGAGCAACCGCTTTTGAATCCTCAAACGTCACTTCGTCTGGAGCTTCGTCGTCGCTCGAATCAACGCCTAACTGTAAATGTTCTGTCATCTTTTTGCTTTCTGATTTTCTTTTTCGAACACCAGCGTCCCCACGCCGTTTATCCGCCATCTTCGAAACTATCTGCGACGATCGTGCGCGTTCAACCACAGAAAGCAGGTCTGTTAGAAGAAGGCAAATTACTGCGCGGCGCCCTCTGCAGGGCCGGATGTTTTCTGAAATTCTTATTATTGTAACTAATATTAATCGTGTTTTTTTCAGTCAAGAGGTACATTGTTTCCTAATAAGACGAATGCTGCAAAATATTTTACTGACAGCTCTTCGTCTTCCCAATGACACATATATATTTTGTAAGCATAGCATATTGCTTCAGCCTTTTACATCCCACTTATCTTTTTAAAATTCTTTCTTGACATTGATTGGCTACATGATTACCTTGAGTTAGTAAGAAAATAAAATTTCAAAACCTAAATATGCGAATCAGTTTAGTGGAGGAAAAGCTAGTGACGTACAGGGACGGTCAGATAGAGAACCGTGTAGGTGCGCGTATTTATCTCCAGCAATTACGTATAAAGTGCCGTAAAGCTGATGAAGTCTTACAAATATGCCACGGTTTGGCCAAGCACAGAGAACTAACGCAAGAATATTACACCGTAGAAAGTTCAAACCTTCGACTGTTAGACCCTGGTAAGCATATAGGACTACTATTAAGTTTGAAAGTTGTTTAAAATATATTCGCACGCTCGGTTTTAGTAAAATATCTGAAATATACGCACTATTTTCCCTTTCAGCAGTATTGCCAATGTCACCTTCCAATCCAGACCTGTGTTACTGCACACCACCACAAACGAAGCTCCTACCGATCGATGCTTTGGCAGGTATCTGTAGTATAGTCACGCGCCTGAACACCATGAAGAACCCATTGGAGTTTACAGTGTTCCTCGATTGCTTTGGCACGCGGTATGCGTGAGACATACTTAACATTCTCAGGACTATAAGAGCATTTCTCAAAACAGTTCGTGCATGCAGGAGAAGCACTGTGGTTTAGCTGCAAAAGCCTGTAACTTACCCAAAACAATAAATTCATGTCTCAAAGGCAAGTCATTCCACTAATGAATTAGTCAGTGCCGCCAAAATGCAGTACAATTAGCATCGTTTTAACCATGAGAGTCAAAATCTGATCTGATCATTGTTTTGGGAATGCACAAATACTGTAAATACTGTAGCACTATAACTTGTAGCTACATATTCATTAGGAAATACAAGATACAGATGTTGTCTGGTGCTGATATAACCAGTGAACACAGAGAGGTTTCGATGTGTTTACATATACTGTCAGTATGTCAGTGTAAGTCTGCTCCTGAGCTCCACAATTCTGAATGACAGTCGGCTCCCACTTTCTCATTGTCACTGACTGATCATTTTTCGTTACATATTCATGTCAGAGATACCAGTTTCAACATTCCACGGCTCTATATTACAAGATGTAAAGTTCACTGGCAAGAGAAAGCACTCACATCCACATGTAACAGCTTCAGGTCTCAAGTCACAGTACAATAGCAAACAAGAAAGCCACACAGCACTGTATAACACAGCAAAATGGTAATACAAGGACATCAGAATGACTGCTACTGGTCCAGTACTGCGTCATAGTGCTGTGGTGACAGTTTGCTGCACTGTCTTGCCTCCTGTATTCTGTACTCTGTATGTGGATGAGATGACAACAAAGAACTTGACTTGACTTGAAATGACAACAAACCATGTAGTGGGGGAACCAAAAACACAACAATGTTGTATCGCTGCAGTGTATGGAATATATATTTAAGTCATTTTGATTAATTGTCATTTGAGAAACGCTCCAAAGCAATCGAGAAAAACTGTATTACTCTAAATGTATATCAATGGTTATATCAGCCCCAGACAGAATCTGTATTCTGTATTTCCTACTGGATATTTAGCTACAAGTTATAGTTATAGTACTATATTACTATACCATACTATACTATACTATACTATACTATACTATAGTATTTACAGTATTATAGCATACCCAAAACAGTGATCAGACATTCTACCAATATATCTAAGCATTTTGACTCTGTTGGTTAAAACGACACTGACTGTACTTTTCATTTTGATGGCGCTGACTAATTCATTGGTGGAATGACTTGCCTTTGAGACACGAGTTAATTGTTTTGAGTAAGTTACAGGCTTTTGCAGCTAAACCACAGTGTTGTGCTATTTTGAGAAATGCTTGTATAGTCTTGAGAATGTTAAGTATGTTTCACGAAATGTGCCAAAGCAATCGAGAAAAACCGTGAAACATTTGGAAATGTATGTGAAGCAATGACAAATGACGTTCGTCTGTGCAGAAGTGACATTTTGATGTGGGGATTGCACTCGATGTCTTGCAAATTTCAATTGTCATTTGAAAAATGCTCCACAGCAATCGGGGAAAAACTGTAAATTGAGAGATGGTTAAAAACAAACACACATTTTACAATGAGTGT